ATAACTATCTAAATAAGTTAAACTGATCTGTTACTTTAATCACTTTAGTCTCTGATGTTACATCTGCCTGATCTGTTGGTGGTGTCTTCACAGTATTTAAATGTTCACAACTTATTTGTGTTTAAACCCTTGATGCTATAGTTGCTTAATCATCTGTTTTCCTTTGAGTGTGATTGCAGTATCGTCAGCAAAATCAAGATCTGTCAACTGTTTATTATCCACCCAGTCAATGCCGATGTTTCCATCACACCATTTTGTAGATCACCCAGTCAATGGTTATGCCAAATGACAGAGCAGATAAAATGCATCACCGTTTTACTCCAGTATCAACCTGACCAATCCTGTTTATAGAATACTGTTTTTGTTTGGCAGCTATAAGACTGCAAGTTGATACTGTGTAATAGTACTTATGAACCGATGAATTAACGTGCTGCACCGAAACTCAGAGCCAAAGGTCTGAGTATTAAATTAGTACTTTGTTATAACTTTGTTTTTGTTACGGTCATTGATTGTAGTTTCCCTTTGCATAGGTTGAGTTATGAATTAAAAACTAAAGTGATGACTGAATTGTGATTTCTGGAGTTCAATTAATTACATGTTGATGTAGATGATATGGTTTGCAGGACGCAAGGGACACTGGAAGATACAAACACCGACTTTCTGTACTCGTGACTAGGGAGATCGTTCACCTGGGATCCCTTACATTGCAGACGGTCGTTAGGAGGAGTCTGATCAAAAACGGGTAGGTTTGTCAAAATGGTGCCATGACCACGATTGTGGAAACACTGACAAAGAGCTTGTCACTGACATTTTCTTTTTAAAGTGGAGATGGATAGGAACAATTGCAATGTATTAGTCGATATGAATTCCAGGATTCTTTAGTTGTAATCGTACGGTGATCATTGAAATATATTTTTCCTTGCAGTTATTGTCAGTAGACTTGCTCGTAGCAAAGGTATACATGCCGAGAAAGGCAGGAGGGAGAGTTAAAAATTCAATGCAAAGATTGTTGACCGAGGTGGGGAGAATAGTCAGTAGATTAGACGTATCAAGTAAACATTGATACATTCGTCGGAGACGTAAAAAAAATTCACAAAGTGAGTGGTCTCGAAGTTTTCATTATTGGCTGGTGATAATTTTTTTATTGACAATCTGTATTCAGACGGGTTGAAACTTAGCCTCATGGGGAAAGAAGTTAATTCAACCCGTGAACTCCACAATAGTCCAAAAGGGCTGGGGAGAACTGACAAATCAAATGAGATCCTTCCAATAGATAAGCAAAGTAAAGATCCATTTTCACGCCTTTGGGCGTATCGTGTATATGGAAAAAGCGCCCATATTTTTACAGACCATCGTTCGAATAGATGACTAATTGAAGAATAAGTCGCAAACTAACCGCAGGTTATCCGAATCCAAATTGCTGTTACCATGCTGTTGTTGTTTGATTATGGATGGTACACTGGCGTAGGATCCTGGGGTGCTCAGATTTATTCAGCCCACCGCCCAAATAGCAAGTTTAAGCAAGGAGGTTTGGGAGGGGGTGGGGGAGGGGGTGGGTGGGTACACCGATACCCCAATAATTTTGTAAGAGAACCAAGAGGCACCCTAAAACTATTTATAGAAATGATCTTTTAAGTATCTGTTTATACATTTCATATGATTTCAAATACCACCAGTGTTGTATTTATTTACCACTCAGCCTAATAATAATAATAATAATAATAATAATAATAATAATAATAATAATACTGAGTTGAAAAACAAGTAAAATATTCGATTTGGCTGTAATAATAATAATAATAATAATAATAATAATAATAATTAATAATAATATTACAACTGGAAAATAGGCACCAAAACCTGGGAGCTCAGGCACTTTAAAGGCCTTGGGCCGCAAAAATTATTTTTTGGGGGATAATGCTTTGCCCCCCCCTCCCCCAAATAATTTATCGTTTTAAACAATAGTTTATAAATTTCAAATTATTTTAAATATTTTCCATTCAGCACATTACTATTGTAAATATAATTTTTATTGCCTAAACCTTGAGGCCGCTTTTCCATGAATTTTCTAGGAGTGGAGTGCCTCTAATGATTCAAGCTTTTGTTTTATTGCACAATAAGAGTAACACTAATAATAATCACTGTTCATTTTATTTTTAATATTGTAATTACTGTTCGATTAAACAGCCCTTCCTGACACCACCTCCCCAATGTTTTATCCACGGCCAACTCTAGCTATAAATAGGCCAAATGGGTCAACGGGGATTCCCGTTCTTGTGCAAGAATTGAGTCCCTCTGTGATAACAGTTTTTATCGAGGAGATGTATACACAAATTAAACTACACTTTCATTAATTTTCTACATATTTTATAGAACTATACGTCATTTTTAAGGTAAATAAGTGTGCCAATTAACAATTAAGGCTCTTCCAGACAAACAAAAATGCTTTTGCTACAGTCAACATGAACATAAACATCAATAACGTTTAGATATAAACTAAAAGTTGTTCCAGCAAAAGTAAAATATTAGTGCTAACTCTTTGATTCTGAGAGGGTATTGTTGCATCTGAAGAGCCGGGGGGGGGGGGATGGGGAGAGTGTGGGGTGACCTTTGTACTTTATCAAATTTAGCGCATAAAAGTACTGCTATAAAACATACACATGTCATACATAACATAAATATAAATGATTGATGGTTATTATTATTATTAGTAGACTACCACAACATACAATTATACTGTTATTTAATAATTAGTAAACAGGCACAACCAGTATGAAATTGATATGTGCAATACTTTTTTTTCGCCCAGAGTAGTTTTCTTAACAGTACCTATAGCACTACTAAATATGTATCCTCAAGGTAGAAACAGCACAAACAAATTTGTCCAGTTTCATCTTGTTGGATAAAATCAATTCCTTATCATTGCGAATTTTTTTGGTAACTGTTTAAAAATACATCACACATTTTTCTAATTACTGCATGCAACAACGCCTATAAGTATCATGAATGGTATATTATTTTAAAGGTAATTAAAGCAAATTTAAAAAAGACCAAATAACTGCAAATTGCTGAGCAACATACACATATCAATTTACAAAAATGAACACAGACCGTACAACTGCAAATATGCATAAGAAGTGGATGAACAACCAAAAGTTTCCACAAGAGTTTACAGCCAGTGTCTGCGATGCAAAAGCCAATTTACAAAAATTAACACAGACCGTACAACTGCAAATATGCATAAGAAGTGGATGAACAACCAAAAGTTTCCACAAGAGTTTACAGCCAGTGTTCGCAAAGCAAAAGCCAATTTACAAAAATTAACACAGACCATACAACTGCAAATATGCATAAGAAGTGGATGAACAACCAGAAGTTTCCGCAACAGTTTACAGCCAGTGTTCGCGATGCAGAAGCCAATTTACAAAAATGAACACAGACCGTACAACTGAAAATATGCATAAGAAGTGGATGAACAACCATAAATTTCCGCAAGAGTTTACAGCCTGTGTCCGTGATGCAAAAGCCTATTTACAAAAATTAACATAGACCGTACAACTGCAAATATGCATAAGAAGTGGATGAACAACCAGAAGTTTCCACAAGAGTTTTCAGCCAGTGTTCGCGAAGCATCAGTCAAATGGTAAAGGATTAATATTATTAGTGTACTTCTACAACATATAATTATACTGTTAGTCAACAATTAGTAAAGAGGCAAAGAGTGACATGCTGTGAGAGGTTAGTTAGTAAATAAAATATAGTTTTATGCACTTACCCAGAGCTCCGAAATATCTTGACACAATTTATTCACAATTTGATTTCTACATTTAAAGTAGAAAAAGAATAAACAGCCAGTTCTCAAAAGTCCAAACTAATGACTAGAAACAGTGACACACACATCGCAACACGACTGTCTTCCGTGAATTAAAATTAAAATTGCTGTATATCCACTTCACAATATCCGCTTGTAGATTTGTAATACGAATACGTTTAAAACACAGGACTTTGTAAGCATATTAAAATGTCACACAATGCAATATGGAAACGATTCCAGTAACATATTTTCGAGGGGACGCCTCGAAAATGTACCGTGATTCAGTTGTCAGGACTGAACATCCAGCCGGACGTGGTTTTATCTATGGCGGAGTGCCTGGGTTAGTATGAATCTTTAACTTTTGTGCGTGTGTAAATCTTTATTCCGGCTGCCAAGTCTGAAGCGTTTTTGGGCTTTGCAATAAAAAAAACTCCCAGTGCGCATCGTCAATAAATGAACAAGCTGAACTGTAGCTAAGGAGTTTAACCAACCTGGGAAGGGGAACAAAGCACATGAGCCCTGATCTTTTCGGCTGCAACGTTTTTTGGCAACAACATTGGGGGAGCGTTTCCAGACCACTGAGATAAAGCAGCTCTTAATAAAGTCTGCTGCTGAAATTTCCATAGGCATAGTGGATTAAAACAAGCTTAAAAACAGTAAGCCTATTTATTATCATCATCGTCAATATGATACTCAGAATGAAAAGAGCTTACCAAATTGTATCACCGACACCTTGTCTTTCATTGCCAGCTGCGTCAAGGTAAATGTCAATCGTGATCGAGCCGTCGTTATCGTGGGCTGATTGGAAGTTGGTTACGCATCTACTTGGCAGCCCCAGTGCACGACTAACTGTCAATTTAGTCACAGGATATAAAACACTGTTCCATGCAACTGCCATCCTAAGCATAAATCAGCACAGCCAGACTGCACCTCAGTCTATCACGTACAACACTACCACACCCAGCACTAAAACCGAAATCACTGCCACAAGTCTATTCCACACAACAATACCACACACAACAAACTGCAAGTCTATGGCACACAGTATGGCCACTCCATAGAGATCACACGTAACTCTGTAATACACAACACAGCCACACAAAACACTATCACATGAACCACAATTGCAAACAAAACTGCAACACAAAACACCACACCACACCACACCACACAATACTACAACATACAGCACTACCACGGACACCACTACAACATACAACACTACAACACTACCGTACACACAACACTACCATGCACAATACTGCAGTACACACCACTACCACACTTAATACTACGACACACAACACAACTTTATCTAGTACCAGAAGACAGCAACAAGTAAGCCTAGGCAATCTTTTCTAGTTTATTTTAGCAACAGAAAACAGCGGCAGACGTCTGGACAATCTACAGGGTTTGTCCTGAAAGTTATTGGACTAGCTTGTAGATTCGCACATGCACAGTGGCTGGGCTTCACTACTTCCACGATCAGCACGCTTAGACTTCTTGTCGACAAAGTGGACTGGTTGCAATGCGTAGCTAACACGCCCCACCACCACACCCAGTCACAGATTTCCCCACCCACGGCGCATGTGCGAATCTACAGCGCTTGTCCAATTACTTTTAAGACAAACCTGTATTTTAGTCTATTTTAGCACTAGAGGACGGCCACATAAGTCTGCACAGTCTGTTCTATTCTATGTCAGCACTAGAGGACGGCCACACAAGTCTAGACTGTCTGTTCTATTCTATGTCAGCACTAGAGACAGCCACATAAATCTGGACAGTCTGTTCTAGTCTATGTTAGCACTAGAGGACGGCCACATAAGTCTGGACAGCCTGTTCTAGACTATGTAAGCTTTAGCGTGGGTATCCGAGCAAACCGCCACACAGGCAGTAATTGTCTCAGACTCAATGAATATGCTTCAGAAGATAACAACAGGCAGTATGCGCTCTGAATGGATAGAAAGCATTCGGATATCGCACTTAACCTCCGTAATCTGGATCTACACACGGGGTTATGCAGGCGTAAAGGGAAATGAGCGAGCGGACCAACTGGCAAGCACTGCACTAATGATTGCGGAAAAAAGCATGGACAGAGCAGATATAGTCAAAGCTGTACGAACTGGGCTAGTGGAGAATGAGGAATCTCTGACACTAACACGATTGCGTGACATGGGAGTTAAGCATGGTGATGCACGTCTGGACAGTCTGTTCTATTCTATGTAAGCGCTAGACAACGGCCACATAAGTCTGGACAGTCTGTTCTATTCTATGTTAGCACTAGACAACGGCCACATAGGTCTGGACAGTCTGTTCTAGTCTATTTTATTCTATATGACCGCGTTAGCGCAGCCAGTAGGAGACTCGCTTTCAAACCCAGATGTGACTCACTTCAGCCCACTGCCAGTGTTCGAAACCAGGCGGTTCCCGTGGTTCACCTAGCCTCTGGGAAATAGGTACCAGAATCAACACTGTTGGGGTAAATAGGGGAACGTCGTTGTAGCTACGGAGTTTCGTGCAGACGTCGACACAGGCGGACAGTTTCTTATCAGCTGTCTGTACTGGTGGCAGAGCACTTATGGTTTATAACCGTGTACAATGACGCTAGTTCACATTTCCTGACTTTTACCTTTTTTACTAGAAGACAGCAACAGAAGTTTGGACAGTCTATACTAGTCTGTTTTGACATCAGGAGAAACCGAAAGAAGTCGGAACAGTTCTACTTTATTCTTTTTCTGTAGCGGGTGACGACAACAAGAGAATCTGGATAATCTATTTCTCTGACACAGAAACACAAATTAAGCTTGTGAATTAGGATAGTCTCTGGGAAATATGAAACGAAATGTGAAAAGATATTTAGGTATCTTAAGTAGACTGATATTTGTATCGACCAGTCGTCACTATATAGGTCATGTGGTCGCCATCCTTTATTTAGCGATGATATTATATATACCAATACAGAGGAAATGACAGTCCCACATGGAGCATGGAAACATATTCATGTCTTGTGAGATATACTGTACATGGAGACCTCGCAACAGATGACACTGATTCTCATAAGAAGTGAGACAAGGCTATAGGGGTCATTTGTTGTTAAAGGGAGCAGTTGTTGTGTTATGATGGTATAAAATGAGGGTAAATACCGGTGTATTAGGAAATGACCAGACAGACTGACTGCTTCTGCACAACTTGGTGGTCAATTGATGCATGACAGGCTAGATGTCGTAAGGGCCTTTGGGTGCGAATGAACAGTGCGCAGGCACAGATAAATCATCATTGTTTGAAGAGAACGGTACTGCCAGGTGTGAGCACGGAATCTGGTCGATGGTCAGCATTCAAGGGACTGATATACAATCAGACTGCTATTGGTACCCTTGGAATTGGAACTCTGTGCATGCTGCTTAAGATTGCGACGGATCGCTTATGCGAATGTCCCAAGTGCTGTGATATCGATTCTAATTAATCCTTAATCAGTAAATTATACGCAAAATGTGATGGTGATGATGAAGATGATAACGATGATAACGATGATAGTGAGAACTATACAGTACACATACTTGTCAGAGTCACACCAGCAAAAACCCAGCACTGTCCATACTTGACAGTAGATTTGGTCCTACAGTACTGTTCCAAGATAGCAGGACTGCCAGTCCAGGTTGTGGGAGGGACGCCGCCACTGAAGCTCCCTTTCCACTTACCGTGTAAGACGCCACGGTCGTCTTGATAATTGACCTGATCATTAGGAGCAGACATCAGTCAGATACTTATTTATACTGATTAGGACGAGGGGGGGGGGGGCCGCACGGAAAGAACAGTGGTGGGGAAGTTGACTAATTCCCATCCAATGCTAAAAAGTGCCAGATATGTTCCTTATATAAAAAAAAAAAGACATTAGAAATCATACAAGTGAGATGTCTGAGAAAGGCTACATGAGTGACAATGAGAGTCAAAATTACAAATGAGATCTTACGATTTAAAAAGTCTGCATAGAACCAATACTAACTTACATTTAAAGACAGCAAATAAAATGGTTTGTCCGCGAATACACAATGCATTGCAATGCTATACCACACAATGCATACACTCCCCATCTGTCTTGATGTTAGCTATAGTTATGTGATTATTTTAGATACTAGCTATAGATATGTGACTATGTCTAGATACAGTACTAACTATAGGTATTTGATTATGACTGGATAGTAGCTACATACATGTGATTATGAGTATATAAAAGCTATACATATGTGCCTAAGTCCAAGTACTAGCTAAAGATGTGAAATTATGTTTAAATACTGGATACTATATCACATCTAGCATGAGAATGGAAGTGGAGGCAGTAACAGCAGCTCTCCGGTGACTAGAGAACAAGATGCATACACATGTCGTAATTGTAACAGACTCTGAAAGCAGGCTGAGAAAGGTGAAGACAGAGATGCTTCGAGCAGAGTGACAAGCTTTACTGGAAATGTCACGGGTAGTTAGCATACTTTGGATTTTTTCTCCAGATGATGCCGTAGTGGTGGGTAATAAACAGGCAGACAAATTCGCTGGATCCGCACCACTGGGTAGTGAATTGTTAAATGACAAGGCAGACGTGATCAAGGCGCTTTGCAATGGAATCAGTAAAGAAAGAGGATTATTATGGCCTGGAGAGAATGAGGCACCGGGGTGTAACCAGAGTGTCTGGCCGGCTCACTACACTCAGAGGAAAGGCAAGACGGACTATTCACCTGACTGCGACCTGTACAATCAGTATTGGAACTCTGCGCTGGCTGCTAAAGAAGAGAACGGAGCATGCATGGGAATTCCCCGAGTGTTGGGATGTTAATTCTTGACTCAACTCAACGCAACTATATATATATATATATATATATATATATATATATATATATATATATATATATATATATATATATATATATACATATATATATACATATATATATTATATATACATACATACATATTTGCCCGTGTGTAAGTGCTAGCTATAAATATGTGATCATATTTAGATAGATACTATGTGACTGATATATTTCCATGTCCAGGTACTGGCTATAGATAGACGCTAGATATAGATAGCTGTCTATGTCTATATACTAGTCAGAGATATGGGATTGTGTCTTAATTATTGTATATATGTATATATATATGGCTGATATTAGCTACAAATATGTTAATATGTCTAGATAGTAGCTATAGAAATGTGTGCATATGACCACGCGTTGATACTAGATGCTTTTAAAGTTTTATTCAAAAATTCTACGTATCGGTTACTATCTAGATATTACCGGTAGATATGTGTCCAAGTCTAAACTCAGCTATAGATATGTGATAATGTCTAGATACAAGCACAAGATATGTGTTCATGTTTAGATGCTAGCTATACATATGTGATTATGTCAAGATACTAGCTTTAAGCATGTGATAATATTTTAATATTAGCAATAAGTATGTGATAATAGCTAGATACTAACTATACATATGTGATTACGTCTATACACTAACTATAGATATTTCACTATGTCTAGATACTAGCATAGATATTTGATTGTGTCTAAGTGCTAGTTATAAAAATGTGACATTATTTAGATACTAGCTGACTTATATATGTCCGTGTCCAAATACTAGCTAAGAATATGTAATTTTTCTTTGGCTAGCTATAGATTTTTGTCAATGTATAGATACTAGCTATAGATTTGTGATGTTTCTAGATGTTACCTATGTGTGTGTGTGTATATATATATATATATATATATATATATATATATATATATATATATATATATATATATATATATATATATATATGCTCATGTTTAGATATTAGCTGTAGATATGTGCTCATGTCTAATTACTAGCAAAAGATGTGTGAATATGTTTAGATACTAGCTATATACATGTGCGATTATGTCTAAAAACTCGTTATATATATGAGAATAAGTCTAAACATTAGCTTACATACATGTGACTATGTCTTGATATTAGCTTTAGATATGTGTCCACATCTAGATACCAGCAATAGATAATGTGCCAATGTCTAAGTACTAGCAATAGATATGTCATAATATTAAAATACTGACTGACTGATATATTTCCATGTCTAGGTATTGGCTATAGATATGTGATCTTTCTATACACTAGCTTTAGATATGTGTCCCTGACGGTATATTAGCTAAAGATATATGATTATGTCTTGATAGTTTTATATGTATATGTGTGTGTGTGTGTGTGTGTGTTATGTGTGTGTGTGTAATTATTTCTACATACTGACTATACATGTGCATCCATGTCTGGATATTAGCTACAAATGTGTAAAAATTTCTAGATAACTATAGATATGTGTCCATATTACCATGTCTGGAGTCTAGGTGATTTTAAGGTCTTATTAAGTAATTCTTTATGTCATTTACTATCTAGATACGATGCCAGGTGCTAGCTTTAAAAATTAGATAATGTCTAGATACTAATTATAGATATTTTATTATTATGTCAAAATCCCAGAACTGTTACCCAGTACCTACTCAAGGACGGGTAGATCTGGTCACCAAGGTCATTGTTGAAACAAAAATGCATGGCTGTATCAGGACCTGAACCGAAAACCTTCCGATCCGCAGGCGAGTGTCTAGCCGCTACCCCACCACGGCCCCCAGCTAAAGATATGAGCCTATGTCTAAATACTAGCTATAGATATGGGTCTATGCCTGAACACTAGCTATAGATATACGCCCATATCTAGATACTAGCTATAGATATGGGTCTATGCCTGAACACTAGCTATAGATATACGCCCATATCTAGATACTAGCTATAGATATACGCCCATGTCTAAATACTAGCTATAGATATACGCCCATGTCTAAATACTAGCTATAGATATACGCCCATGTCTAAATACTAGCTATAGATATACGCCCATGTCTAAATACTAGCTATAGATATACGCCCATGTCTAAATACTAGCTATAGATATGGGTCTATGCCTGAACACTAGCTATAGATATACGCCCATATCTAGATACTAGCTATAGATATGCACCCATGTCTAAATACTAGCTATAGATAGATATACGCTAAGTCGAAATACTAGCTATAGATATACGCTCATGTCTAAATACAAGCTAAAGATATACGCCCATGTCTAAATGCTAGCTATAGATATGGGCCCATCTTCAATATACTGGTGTGTGCTAGTCTTCCTCAAATCATCATATGCTAACCTTCCTTAAATCAGCTTTAGCATTTGGTACATCTGTCATGTCCTTCTTTGCTTTGATTACACCAGGCGTGCGATAGCTCTAGATGCGCCCATGTCTAAATACTAGCTATAGATATGAGCCCATGCCTAAATACTAGCTATCATCATCATTATCATTTTTCGTGCACGCTGAGGCACTGGTAGATACTGATGTTCTTTGTCTAAATGAGGAAAGAACAACTTGACTAGCCCTACGCCCTGATGACGCAGATAGTGTTATTGACTTAGCTCTTGTCACCCCAGCTCTGGCCTCCATGTGTCAATAGGACGTCCTTGGCTACCATGGCAGTGGTTCCCTTCCAAACGCAAACGCAAACTACTAACCCAGATGCTACAAAAAATATTATATATGACAATACTGGCAGTGACGTCACTAGAAGAATCAGAAGAACAGCTGCCAAACTCATCCAATACAAGAAGCTTAGATCACAATCTCCATGGTGACATGCAGAAGTGAAAAAATGCTGGCAGGCAAAGAGGGAGTTAGCCAAGGACTGGCAAAAAAGCGCGGAAGACAGGCAGCACCATTGAACTCATAACCTTGAAAGAAAGCATGAAAGAAACAACAGATCGTTTCGAAACTGTAGCCTGGTAAGCATAAATGAAAAATAGGAAGAGTTATGTGAAAGAGTTGACCGTGAAAATTGACTACAGCTTTTCTGGCTGCTACAGCAATCTATGACTGGTACACCGCTACAATATAACTTGCTTGACGTTTAGGAACTAAATGGTAGTTGACACTTAACGGATGAAAGCAAAGGCCTATTACTTTTCAACTTATATTTGCAGCAAACAAAAAATTGACAGACGAACAGATGTGAAGGAAGCATTGAAGAATCTTTGTAAAACTGTTACTCCAGAAGAAGAGCTTTGTAGATGCATATACACACTAAAAAAAAAAAAATCGCCGGGTCCAGACATTTTGGAATAAAGACTTTTTTAAACTAACAGACGAAGAACTGTGAGAAATGGGCAATGAAAACAACAATAGCATAAGGACAGGCACAGTAAATGAAACATAGCTTCAAAGTTATTTAATACCTTTTCCGAAGCCTGGCGAAGAACCATCTTCTATAAGCAACTACCGAATTATCAGTATGTAAAACACCATTGGAAAACTGCTTGAAAATTAGTAGCACGGAAAATTACTCATAAATTAGAACAAACAGGTAGACTGCAATCAACACTGGGAGGATATAGACCACACTGGGATACGCGGAGTAATGCTGTCGTTTTTGCATACAAAGTCTATGAAGGTTTCCATGCAGGAGTGGAAACATGTGCTGTGACGCTAGATTTGGAAGATGCATAGAAAAGGGTTACCTTTGAAAAACTTATACACCAGCTCCTAAATATCAACACTTCCCCAACACTCATTAAGTGGAGTGCAGCTGCACTTTTTAAGATATAGGTTGCTTTCAAATGTGGAAGATGAATCTCTGAATTGAAAACCATACACCCAGGGTGGCCTCAGGATCACCTTTATCCCCAGTCCTCTTTAACATTTTCACTACAGGGGTGAAACAATACAAAATCACAGGTGAAGGAAGAAGATTCTCATTACATACTAGTGAATCCCCAAGGCAAGACCAGATGCAGAATTGTAGAAGAACTTCAGAAGGAACTGGGACGTCTAGCAGATTGGTGTCACACCTCCGGAGAACAGATTAACTGCAAAAGCGACAGGTTTTATTTTAACATCACATAGTACACACAGTTACGTCCTCTGTGCATATGAACGGTGAAGAGATAGTTGGGTTGAACTTTTAAAATCCTTGGAGTAAGTTTTGATGGCAGCCTAGCTGTAGATGTCTTAGAAGAATACCGAATCTCCACTGGACAAATTTTAGATCCAAATAACACAAGAGACAAAGCAAGAAAATGTTTCAAATTTTATTAGAAAGCGCAACTGGAATTACATCTGCCATGCACTCAGAATGGATAGGACAAGATTCTCCAGTCAAGCCCATATATGGACATCGGAAGGGAAAAGAAAACAGGTAAGACCAAGAGAGACTCCGTGCAGAACCATCCTCAGGGAAGGCTCACTTTTGGGCCAAATGAATACCCAAGACCTAAATCAGGTGACAATGAACAGTCAGACATGGAGAGCTATGACCTCTGCCCTATGCGCCGCCTTAGGCTCAAGAGAAAAAACTAAATAACTAAGTTAGCTGCAGATTCCAAGTTAATACTATGATCAAAACGCGAGAAAGGGCGTGGCTGCAATCC